TGGTAGGTATAATTTTGAAAATATTTTCATTTTCGCATATTGATTTTGATTCGTTACCAACCATTCGTATAGCCAGCACAAAATTTATCCATCGTTATAAGATTTTCAAATTCAACATAATTTTTAGAAGAGGAACGTAGTATTCTTTTATATACACATATACCGATATCCAACATTTGTTAGATTCAGAATATTACTAGATTTTATTCAAACCAATTAATATTTATATATAATGGAATATAACATTTCGTTAAAATAAATCTATATAGTTCGAAGATTGAAATTTCTATTTAGAATAAAGTTTTCTTATACGTGACGTTTGTTTTCCAAAATTTGATTAACTCTTTAAAGAAAGTTTGCAAATGTTATTGTAACGTTTAAAATATTAAAAATACATGAAGAAAAATATAATTAATTGAAAAATTTATTTGTTTTCCAATTTTTAAGACGTTATAACCTGATTAAATATTAATGAGAGGGAAAAATTTGGTATAGTTTAAATTTACTTTAATATTGTATAGAATTACTTTTGTTGTTAATATAACGATCTCAAAATTATATAAAATACTATCAATAAAACGGGTATATGTACTTATGTACGCACGTAAGAAGTTATACTTCTTCGGCGTAACAAAATGAAAACAACTCCAAAAATTTTATCCAGTGTGCCAACATATATACTTTACATTTGTATAGAAAAGACAATATAATAATAAAATAAAGATATTAAATGCAATTAATATAAATTTAATTAATAAGTATAATTTAATTTAAATAACGTTTATTTATATATTGTTAAATTATTTTTAAATAATTAGAAAAAAAAGAATATTACTGTATATACAATTTCTGCATATTGAAATTGAATAAATTCATTTCGATTAGTTGATCTGTTTGTGATTCAATGAGCATGTGAGGAACAAGAGGTTAATGGTAGCTAAAAGATGATACAAATTATCTAGTAGAAACGTTATCTAAATATCGTGTAAATACAGCAATAATTGTAGTACAATGTCGGATTGTAGAAACTGTTTGATCATTATTTATTGAAAGATTGAAATCTTCACGTAAAAAGTTGATGAGTACATCAGAATATTCTTAGTTGAAATTAACATTAAAATCTCCACTTAAAATCATTGGTAACTTATGCTTACCTTTACCCATATATGCCCATCCAATCGTTGTGTATGGAAAGAATTCCCGTTGTAACATGTTGACTGCCGTATAGGTCACCGGTAACCTCAACACGACCGTTAGTAAAAATACATAATTAGAATAAATATCGATTCTGATAAATTTTTAAATAACACCATTGTTTTTATAAGGGTTGTTTTATAATAATTAAAAACACATAAATAATTTTAATTTGCATCGATATAAAACACGTGTTGTGTATATAGAAATACCAGAATAGATATCTTGACTATAGATATTGGTTCACAGTAAACATACGGAAGATTTATCAACTAACTTCATGGTGTTAATTCTTTTCATGTCACTATGCGCGCGCATCATAAAAATTCACCCTCATCAATTTTACCTGACGTGCCAAAAGGAGTAAAATACCTTCAAAAACTGATTATAGTTTTTGTATTAAGTCGAATGTGTACTGTATGAAATATTTGCAATATATATTTATTTTTTATTTGAAATGAAGAAAAATGCACTTGAAAGATTTGTTTAGAAAACCCATGGAGTTGAAGACATCCGGTTGTATCATTTTAAATGTCACTTACAGTAAATATAAGTTGCGACGTTATTTCGGTCCATATTGAATATTTTCTTTGGTTGTACGGTCATGGAGCAGAATTTCACTTCCGTATTGTGCACGCTTTCTCACTCTGCTTGAAAAAGAATGCTATCCTTTTCCACTTCCACTTTGTAAGAGCGGAAGATGTTAATCTCCAAAAAAAAAACATACTTTAATTGTAATGGATTGAAGATATTTTTTAATACTTGTTATACCACAAATCATCGAAAAGTGTTTGGTCCCTGTATCACCTGTATCACACCTTAATCTCCTTGTTTCTTACAATTAGTAACCACTGTTTTATTCTAACTCGCTGAATTTATTTCAATCGAACACTGATTTGAGTGTACGTAACTAATTATATGCGAATATCCAGTAAAACCACAATTGCTTTCGATGATCTTATCCTCTCGAATGACGCAAGAAGAATGGTAATCTCACTTAGTGTGTATCTCTTACAATAAAAACGTCGAATGCTCAGCTATTTTCGTCCTGCTTCGGCTGCTTTTGTTTTGTCTTCGGTTGGTTTTACTTCATTTAGATGTAAGAAATTCCTCATGAATATAAAGAGGATAAAAAGTTGACATGACAATAAGGTTAGGTACATGTATTCGTGCTGTATTCTTCCAATGAATTTTCCGTAGAAACAAATTTCTGTAATCGTTACGACAAAGGACGGAACATTCTTTTGTACAATCGTATTGACAAAACTCTAAAAAATAAGTTGCAGTATTATAAAAATGTTTAGATCTGATAGTTGAAAGAATTTTTTCCCAAAGTAAATTTTTTATAAGACATCTAGGTTATCCATGATTTCTTACAAGAACTAATATATATTTGTTGTAATATTTAAATACTGCACGAAACAAGAAATTAAAATGTCTTGTATAAACATATAATAGCGATCATTATCATTGTATTTGTCAAATCTAAAGAATATTACTTGATTCATCTCTAAAATGTTTCTATTATTTTTAATAATACGAAAAAGTGATATATACAAAACTTAGATGACATGAAAAGTAGTGTACAGTGATGCCCACTTCTTTTCGGTAGATGAAGACATAGAAGATATTTTAAGGTCATCAAATTTTTGAAGTTATACTTATTTTGGCGGGCTAGGAAAAAAATGAGAGTGAATTTGTACGATGCGCGCGCACAGCGACACGAAATTAACACTATGAAGTTAGTCTATAAATCTTCTTTATGTTTAGTGTGAACCAATATCTATATTCAAAATATTTATTCTGATATTTCTATATACGCAACACGTATTTTATATAGATGCAAATAAAAATTATTTATATGTATAAGATTCGTGAAAAAACTTGGACCGCTTGACTGACTGGACAGGGACTTAAGCCCCGGATCTTTCGCTTTTACGGCAACTGTCCTTTATCCATTGAGCTATCCTGATCCACCCGTCCAATCCCTTCACGAGTGCCTATTTAAGTATTTACCATAAAGGCACTCGTCCTTCATATGTTTTTAATTATTACATACAGTTGTGATTGATATTAAATAACTGTAAAAATCTACAAAAACATTGATTGTTTGTGATTATTAATAATAAAAGTTGTGTTTATAATCTTTTTAACAGTATTTTTGTATCATTGAGGTTAACTGAGGAATGTTATAATTGTGTATATTATTCATAAATTATTACTTTATTATTTAATAAATAATAGTCGTTATAAGATATAATGTGTAAATAATATGACGAATTCTATTACATTAAAAAAATAAATAAATAATTTATATTTTGATTATCATTTGTATATTAATTGTTTTTATGTACGGATATATAGAAAATTAATTAATCTCCCATAAGCGTAAATTAGGTAGACAAATGTTTAAAAAGTGATACTTACCCACGTAAAATAACATACAAAAAATTTTATATACTATTTTCTTTTTACTTTAATCTACTTTTTATGTGCGTTACTACTATTATAATGATAAGTTTAATAATAATTACATAATTTTAATTTCCGTTTTTTTATATATTATATTGTACTACACTGTAATTAATGGCCCTTAGGGAGCTTAGGCTCTAAAGTCAATAAAATATTATTATATAAATAAATAAATAGGTATTTTATTGTTTTTATTTGTCTACTGTCTGTTTAATTACACTAATATAATTTTCTATACTTTTTATATTAACATTGAATACTGAGTACTTATTATAATTTGTGGGCTCAATAACAAATTATATTTAGGAAATTTTCATGGATATTGAAGTACTATTTGAATTTACATGTTTACTTTTATCGCTATATTTGTTCAATACTTTTATTCGATCTGGACTTAGAATAGATGCGGGATTTTGCTATGCTTTTTTGAATTATCAAGTATCACTCTCCGATATCATGAACTGCTCTCGTTCTTATAGTTAATCCAAAGCTTTAAACAGTTTTAATATACACAAATTTTAAGATTTTTACGTACAGAAATGTCGAGCATATTATTTTTTTTTTTCATGAATAGAGACAAATACTAACTAGAAAATGATGGTTTTTAAAAGGTATTATCTGCTCTGAGTTTTGTGTAAAATTAAGTAGTTACATTAAGTGTTATAAAAGTAATTCTTATATTTCTAATACACATATTTGTAGTAATTTCAATTGCATGCTTGTAGAAGTTGGAATTAATTCAACAGGATTAGAAGGAGTCGCATTTGTCGTAGTTGAATTGAGACATGAGAGAATTGGTTAAGATGTTTCTAATCAAGAAATTATATTTTCGATCCAATTTATATGAGAGGATATACGCGTTAAAAGAGAATATGAATAACTATCACAAGTCGTTGTACCACCCGATACTATAAAATCAAGAGAGAGACTTACGATTCCTCGTAGAAAAACTAAATTTCCAGTTGAAGATACAAATCCTCCTCCGCTGTCACCATCGCAGACAGCTGTTCCTAAAATAAAAATAATAATTTTGTTTAGGTATAATTTTATATAAAAATATTTTAATTTTCTAATTATTATTCTGGGACGAGCACCTCCATGTCAAATACTTAAATAGGCATTCGTGAAGGGATTGGACAGTGGGTCCTAGATAGCTCAATAGATAAAAAGCAGTCGCCCGGAATGCGAAAGATCCGTGGTTCGAGTCCGGTCCACTCAAGTCCAACGGCCCAATTTCTCCACGAATTTTCTATTATTATATTGATTCGTTACTAACCATTCGCATATCCAACACAAAATTTATCTTTAGTTATTAGTTCATAAGAGTTAGAACTATTATCTCGAGATTTACATTGATCACGAGGAACATAGGGCAATAATACAGATTGTAGAATAGAACTGGACGTTCCTTCATGTGTTTTACCAAATCCTGAAACGAGACCTATTCCAGATTGAAAAATATCACCATTTATACACGCAGGGGTTAACGTAGATGACAAAACAAATGGTATTTCGATTTCCAATATTGCTATGTCATTAGCATAATTTCCTTCGTAGCCCTTATAATCAGAAGGAACATAAATGTTTTTAACCTACAAAAAAAAAATATTATTACCTTTCTATTATTTATGTAAAACCAGAGTGTACACACAATTTCCTAGTTAAATATTTGATTTGATTTTAATAAGAAGCCTTTTCTTTTTTCCATACTTTGGCCTTTTTAACGAATCTTTCATCGTGCAGGGAAGAATCGTAGTCACGATAAATGTTTCCAGTTAAAATATAATATTTATTTGGGTCGTTTATCGATTGAATCGTATCGTCGTAGACGCAATGCGCTGCGGCTAGAAGGTATTTCTTTTTTACTATTGTTGCTCCGCAAATAAATTTCTTCGGTCCGTTTGGGAATTCTTGATAATATAAAGTAGCGTGCCATGGAATCATGGTTTCATTAAAGATACTGCCGTTCGTAATGAAAGGATTGTATTTCAGAGAAACAACACCGCATTCTAAAACATATAACAAAATGATTATTACTATGTATAATTCAAATATAAATGTTAATAAATTATCAATTAAATGCCATCATTTTTTAATAATATTATGTTAAGTATTCCTATGTCTCATATAATATTTACCAAGAAATAATTCAAACAATTGTAGACCTTAATTCACACACAATTGAAAACATAAATTATCAAGTTTAGTAATTCAGAAAGTTTTACATATTTTTTTAATTTTATTTATTTTTATGTGACATAAGGAGCTAGGGTTGATTTGCTGTTTTACTTTTTGAAGCATGAAGCGGTGTATAATAAACTTAAAAAGCTAATGAATGGAATAATATATAATGTTTATCTTGTGTAAGTATAGTCAATAAGAAAAATGTGGCTAATATATGATTCACCGTAATATTGTAATATTTTTTGACGACTAGTTTAATTGCAAATTTTTCATAAAATAAACGAAAAAATTAAAATCAATACCGCTGCTTTAAAAATATTTCAAACATTAATAACATTTTATACTATTTGATTGAAATATACTACACATAATACTAAAGATCTTATAATAATAATTATAGGTAACATTTTGATGTAAACTATCTGAAATCGTAACATGATCAAATTGAAATATAATGAATATATTCTTGAATGTATTGAAATAAATTCTTAACATGTTGAATATTAATAATGTTTCTATAATAAAAATTCTTTAAATATACCATGACAGTTTTTAAGAATACGTTTACATAGGTATGTATGTCTTCCAGTTTTTTCAAAGCTTTAAATGTATTAAGAAATCTAATATCGATATCAGGATATTTCTGGTTTTGAGTATATTGAAATCTTGTTAACGAAGAAGGAGTGTTGCTTTTCTCAATATAAGATTAAAAAGTTATGATGCAACCCCAAACAATTGGAAAACAATGTGTGTGTATTGGTTGTGGTCCCCATTGACCTGTAGTGTTACATACCTGTATCTTCATTTACTTCTTTGAATTGAAAATGTGCAACTGCTTCACGATCGTTGCGACGACTCAACACTGCGTTGGTTCCAAGCAAACCAGACGATTCTAATGATCAGCAACGTATTTTTATAATGACGTGGCAAAAATTTAAAAAATAACAAAAATATTTAAGACAGTAAACTTTATACATTTTGGCACGCTTTTTATCTTAATAACACATAAATTTTAAATCTTACCAGTACAAACTGGAATATCTGACCAGTTCCCACCTTGGTCACAAAATACATCACTGGAACTGTTTAGTTGATATCCAGAATTACAGGTATAAATTAAATGAGTCAAAGCTGGTAATTTTGTACCATCTTGCACGTCGCAATCGTGCATCGTTGCATTGGTTTCTTGCGATGGACATTGCATCCAACATAATTGCCGAAAACCATTTGCTGGTTGGGGAGGCACCGTACAAACATTTGCTTGTACTGTCACACTCGCAAAGTGTATGAATACTACGAAGTCTGTGAAATAAAAGCAATTGTTTAACTATTTGATTATTAGTCAAGTAAGTTTCCTACAAAAATCATACACAGTAACAAATAAAAGTTAAAAAAAAAAAAAAATAATTTTTCTACTATAAGTTCGTAGATTATCGCATTGGTCACGAGTTCAACATTACTGTTAGCAATTAATCTTATCATTATACTAGTCTCATCTCTCTATCGCGCGCGCGCGTCGTTTAAATTGTTATTTTTATTCGTTGAGTTTACGGACGTTTTATAATACTCACATAAAACTGGTTTCAGATTTCTTGGAAAGAGAGACGTCGTGTATTTACACATAATATCAATTAATAATCTATTACGTTCTATACATATTATGGTTGTTTTATCTACTAAAAATACATTTACTTTTCATTATTACAAACAGAATTTTCTTTCAGATACATATATACCGATGTGCAACATTTGTTAGATTCAATATATTACTTGATCTTATTTACACAAATTGATATTTATATTGAATATACAATAGAATGTCTCTGAAATAAATGAACACACACACATATTTCGAAGATTAAAATTTTTTTCTACGATAAAGTTTTTTTATAATATTGGATTTTCCAAAGTTTGATAATCTCTTTCAAAAAAGTTTGCCGATATCATTGTTGCCTTATCGCGTATCCAATACTTATACATACATATATACAGCATGTTTCAATTTTAAAAAATATTATTTAAAATTCTTTAAATACAATAATTATTTGTGAATATTAGTAATAAAAGTCTTTTTTGAGGTTAACTGAGGTATGTATTATTATTTATTTGTTTTAATTCGTTTCATTTCTTCTCTATAGTGATCATCAATTTAGGTTGAAAATGATTAAACTGGATAACATGCTGTGCGATTTTGGAAGTTATTTATGCCTTAACCATACGATAACAATTTCCTGATTTTAATCTAAGAATACTGATGAATTGCAATCGTTCTCTTTATCCTGATATTATAACAAACAATAGTAAGTAAAATAGCAATATTCTGTTCAGTTAAAATACATGTATTTTATTGTTTTTTAATTCAATTTATGGTGCTTTGTTTCTCTTTTTATATTTTTTATATATCATACACACACATAAACTACTTACATACATAAATGCATCTTAATTATTTATAAATTATTTTCTACAATAATTCTTATTAAACTATTATCTCCTGCAGTTTTTTGACCAGTATCACTATACATTCAAATTTTTGTTTCAGTGTTTAAGATTTCTAAAACTAATGCAGAGAAGTGTAATGCCTATTACTATCGTTATAAAAATGTATCTAAAAGAAAGTATCACTCACAAACAAACGTGGAACGTTGTAAAACGAATAAGCTGCGAAAAAAATGTTTTGTTACACAAAAGAAGAATAACTTCTTACGTGCGTATGTAATTTTAGTATAAAAATGATCACCTCTCGTATGCAAAAGTAATATCTTCTAAGATATTGTCAAAATCTTTTGAAATATAAAATAATATTATGTAATTGTATTACTTACAGCCAAATGCAATTAAAAATGAACACTTTTTATGTACGATATCCATAGTGATTAGAAGGAAAAAATAGAAAACGAATTTTAAAATTTAAATAATATTCAAAGAGAGTGCCGTATCGTTTTGTCTAACGTCAACTCAGATTCACCAATGTTTGCAAGTCGATCTGATAGTTCTCACTGGAGAAATTTTAAGTATTTCCTGTATCTTATATATGTAATATCAATACTCGCGACCTATGAGTCTCATGATTAAAATTATGAGATATAAGCGTAAAAGAAAAAAACAAGTTTTAAAGAAGTATATTTCAATATGATAGTAGAGATTCGTTTWATATTTTTAATCTATGTAATTATTGTGAAATAAACATAGCATATCACATACGACATGATTACAGCTTTATATAATAAATAACATCATATTTCTTTTACTTTGAGCATTAAACATGTTATGATTATTTAATATCGGGTGTGTGTACTTATGTACGCACGTCAAAAGTTATAATTCCTTAATGTATAACAAAACAAAATAACAAATATATTAAATTTAAAAAAATTTTAATAAACACTCAAAGCATTCAATGTTAATATAAAAAGTATAGAAAATTATATGAGCGTGAATTAAGCGGACAGTAGAAAAGTTGAAAAAAAAAATACTCGTATTTAAAAATATATTTTTTTTAATTTTTATAAAAAATCACATGTTCAAAATTCTCATTTCTAGATACGCATTTTTTCTTTTGTAATTAAAATTTTGTTTAAATTATTATTACGTTAGACAATATCAATTTTGAAAAATTTTTCTACAAAATACATATCTCAGTTTAAGACCTTAATGATATATAAAAATACTTTAAAAAAGATTATAAAWACAAATTTTATTACTAATATTCATAAACAATCAATGTTTTCGAAGATTTTTAAAGTTCTGTACAATTTCTGTTTGTTTCTGATGAAGCAGTTAAGCCTTTATCAGAGCATGACCTAAAGAATTGTGAGCGAATTGGCAAGTGATGAGGTATGGATCTAATAAACTGGAGGGGAGAAGGGTAATTTAACTATGGATTTGATTAAAATTCTCTTACAATGAGAATAGGTAATTATGAATTAAAGTAAGACGCTTACCTTTTTCTGCAGTTGGTGAGGTAAGCCTCTGTCTCTGGTTCGATCAACAACAATAAAATAATTCTAATCGTAAGTAAAAATTAAATTTTACTAACTCTCCCTCAATTCGGTTATATTCAATATTTATTCTTTTACGTTACGCACATCAATCTTGCTGGACGTTTCACTGATTTTACAGGATACAGATTTCTTGATTCAAAACAAAATGCAGACTTATTAACTAAAACAGAAATATCATAAGTGTCCTCGACTTTCTTCCTGATCTTCTTTAGAAACCTATTCCTACTTCCACTTCCTATAATTAGACCAATTACATCAATGCATAACGAATTAGTTTGCAGGATATAAAAGTTAGTTCCTAATTGGGTAGTTACATTGACGCCTACACGGCTCATTGATTTAAAAAATTAACAAAGAGTATACCTTCTGAGGGAAAAGTACAGACCCCAGATCCACGAATCCCTATGAGTCTACGCCAATGTATCTGATATCCGTTCCTTTGTCGAATAGTTATATTTCTTAAGAATGATAATAAATACGAAATATCTCTAGGATGTTTACTTAAGGTTATGTGTAGCTTTTATTTGTGAACGATACCGCACGAGCCGGGTAAATGTTTGTCATCTGTTCCTTTAGTTTAGGTAATTAAATTATATCGGGTTATCAGATATAAGAATTTGGCAAGGAAAATATTAAGCGTAGCAGGTAAAAGAAAAAAGAAAACAGCCTAGAACGTAACAATACATTTCAATCCATTACTAAGAAGGAGACCTTACGGTTGTGCCCTCACGGATTTTAACAAGCTTTGGTATATTAGTAGTATACTAGTAGGGTGTTATCGTGGTAAAGTAAAAAAAAGCTGTAAAAGTTTTGATTTTTTTTTATACTTATTTATATTATCTTAAATGCAGATGTTAATCAAGTGGCGCGCTAGCGTAAGTAGTAACGTGCTCGCTTCTCGTGCTGCTAATTTAGTGGTTCGTTCGATTCTTCATCGGGAAAGTTTTTTTTAATAATTTTTTTCTATTTGTTTTTAAATTGTTTTCTCATAACTCCTAATTTTTAAATATATACAGAGAAAATTATTTATTACAAAAAAATTAGAAATAATAAATTTTTTAATATTTAAATATTTACTTTTTTCACCGTATGTTTTTCCTTCGTTGCGCCACTTAACAATTAATATTTCAGTACTTTTAGAAATTTCAGATTTTTTCGAACTCATGATCAATATCGTAATATTTCACGACGAATACTGAACTGTGACTGACAAATGTGCATAAGGCAACAACTAATGACCTTCCATGTATCCAATTAGTACTGGAAAAACTTTTATTTTCATTATTTCTTGATCTTAGTTCTATGTGTCCAATTACTTTAGTTGCTTCACCAATCGTTACGTTTGTAAGAAATWAATCATAACTATTGTATATATATTTCGATTTGCTTGAAACTATACCTGCGTAATTTACAGAGTCATATCTCCATCCAATGTTAATAATATATCGGTAAGTGTTCTATAATACACTTATTATAATTATTAAAATATTTCATGGCAACTGTGTATGTGTGTGTGTGGCTCATATACTTTCGTGAGTCACTGTATATCCATTTTTCATTTAATGTTAGATCAATGTTAGAAGTTTTCTTTCTAACGTTTTAATAAATGAAACTTATTTTATTCTCACAATTATATTCATTTAAATAATCAACGATTTTACCTGATCATAATATACGAATATTTACAATCAGTACAAAATTTTAATTAATAATGCTGAATGTATTATTACGTCATCGTGTAACTGCCTATCCTTAATCCGTATATAGTAATAATAGTTACATTTACTCAATTCGTAAAAATATTTGGTTTACAATTACATGCAAGTAAAGGGTTACAGGGTTCTAATAAAAGTACAGAATTTTTTGAAAAAAAGTATATTGTTGACAAGAATAAAAATCTACTGATATAATAATTGTTTAACAGACGCTGAACAACTTGATATTTAAATTTAATTGCTTTGTTTAAACAGAAGAGATAGGTAGAAGATACTTATTGTCCTACCTGAATCCTTTACAAAATAATAATATAACTGAGATAATTACAAACAAGAAGTAAAGTATTATGAAATTAAACGTCACCCCAAATAAAACGGTTATTGATTTGAATTTGTTTATTATTCTTTTTTACCAACGTCATGCTTTTATAAAATAACAAAAATCTTTGACATTATCGTCGTTCAACGTGTTTATTTTTGCTATAATATTTCAATATTGCTATGCACATTTATTCATGACTCTACTCGAACGTATCAACTTGTATCAATTAAAATAACTAAACAGAACTGCCAGGTACGTCAGTCACTGCGTGAAATCATAAATAATCCCTGTTTTTTTATTTTTAGGAAAGCTATTATAAATAATTATCAATTTTTCAAAGAATAAACAATACTCGTTTTCGTGTATCGAACATTGACAATCAATACAAAATTTGACATCTTCAATATCAACGTGGTATTATAAACAAATAAGAATTAGAATTCCTATTTGTAATCTTCGAAATAATGTTCAAGATCTATTTTACCAAAAAATATGCTGGTTAACGTATGTTCCTTCTTTTTAGCCTAATTCAATGACCAAAATAAACACAGTCAATGTGTTTTATCGTATCTTATTTAACAATACACATTAGAAATAAAAACTTTTTGTTCTCTTTTAAAGAATGTTGTGTTGATACGGTGTTTTTTGATGAATCGATAATCTTCATAAAATTAACGTGATTAATACTATTATTATATATATATATATACAAATGTATTTATCTTGTATTTATTTATGTTCTAGTAATATGTAGTCCAATACGATTCTTTTTCTAAACAAATTTATGAATTATAGACCAACTGTCATAAAATTCAAATGTTTGGGCAACATCTACTACTTCTTTGATTTCTGAATTTCCTTTACTTTCACATATATCAACTATCTGTTGTTTTATTAGTCCTTGTAAGAATCGACCCTTCAAATTATCAATTGTGTTAATGCTACTATTGCAATTAGTAATTAAATTTATTAATGCAAGCATATATTGTTGCGGAGATTCGCCAATAAACTGATCTCGATCCCAAAAACGAGATTCAGCAACCAATGTTTCGTCAGAATATCCTAACACATTTGATATCCTGAATATAAGTTCTTCGTATTTAAGACGAAAAAGCATTAACATAGAGAACTCTTCTTGTAACTTCACAATAGCAGAAGTTTCCATCATATAGAAAAAAAAATCAACTATTCTCTTATATTTTATTTGAAGAAACTCGACTATGTACTCAAATGCATTTAGCCATTGAAAAAAGTCCATAGTATACAGATCAAATCTAGCCAAATAACTGGGTCCATCAGACATTACATCTGCCATTTTTTCTTTCCTTTTCTTTTTTTCCGTTGTTTCTGTTGTTTCTGTTGTTTCCGTTGAATCCGTTGTTTCCGTTGTTTCCGTTGTTTCCGATAAATATGCCGTTTCCATTGTTCCCATTGTTTCAGTTGTTTCAGTTGTTTCCACATTTTCCATTGTTTCCTTTGTTTCCATTGCGTTTATTGTTTAAATGACAAATAAGTTTTCTTTATTTTTATAACAGATAATTTGATAATTTATTAGAAGTTATTTTTTGTGTCCTTTGTTTCACCTTCACTAACTAACACTAAGAATATTACTTATCGTATTGAACTTAAAATTCTGTATTCTTTCTTTCTACATATGAATGTTTTATATTTGAAAATATTCGTATTACGTTTATAGTCTGCGAGTAATGGTTCTCAGTGTTGTATTGAAGATAAACAGCTGTTTCTAGAAGTTTATAATGTTAATAGAAATAGAAATACAAAATATATATACAAATACGTCCTACAGATCAAGAGTTTAAACACGATAGTTCAGTAAACGAAAATGAAAATCGTTAATTGTTTCCTAAAACGATATTATTATTTATAATAGTTTCCTAAAAAAAAGTATTAGATTATTTATGTAAAGATTGAAGTAATAATCGTTACGGCTTATTAATTTGGATAATGAACGAGATCCTAAGTCAAAAACAAATTCGTAGTAAGATTTCGAAGGAAACTA